AGCTGCCTGCCGAAGCTGATCGGCGCGACTATCTACGACCGCGCAAAACTGCTCGGATAGACGATCGGAGTCACGACCTGCGTGTCTTCCCGCGGAGCTGCTTTGCAGAGCGGGAGGCCGCCCGCTAGCCCAAGGACTTCGGTGGCCTGCACTGGGGTCTGTCTGAAGTGCGTGAGGCACGAGAGCACATGTTCGGCGCGCAGCTGCACTACGGCGGCCCTGCGCTCACCACTGGCGGTATCTGGACCTCCCTGAGCAAGACCCGCATCCCGAACCACGACGACGACGAGATCTGCGTCCGCTGCAAGGGCGCGGTCGAGACCACCATGCACAGATTGTGGAGCTGCCCGTGCATTGCGACTGCACGCGGTGTGCTTGATGCACGCGTACCCAGGAATAACTATCCTGACGGCCTTCCCCCTTGCTTGGCGCGGTGCGGACTGATCCCACGCGGTTTGGGAACGAGCACGACGCCGTCCTTGGAGGAGGCGAAATACGTTTCGGAGCACCTCCTGCACGTGAACGCCGTTGCTGCTCTGGCTTGTGCCGCGCAGCGTCGCCAACAACCAGTTCTGCTTGAATTGGATCCGTGCCGCTCCCAACCAGCGGAGCACATATGTCGTGCTGCTCCTCCGCCTTTGCCCCGCGGCGGCAGACGGGGGGCCTGGTGGAGCACCTCTGGCAGGCCTGCGCGGGGACCAGCCTCCACGGCAGCCTGCCCCAGGAGATTTCCGAGCACGCGATGCCCTCGTGCTTTCTTGTGATGGTTCGGCGACCACCGGGCCGAATACAGACGTGTCTGGGTGGGGATTCACTGTCACCTCATCCTCGTCGGCTTTGCTCCTGGATTACTGTGGGCCCACCATCGTGGACCCGAATGAACTTGGATAGATCCGTGCATATCATCATTCCAATAATGTTATAGAATTGTCTGCTATATTTGTCGCTTTGTCGTGGATTCGTGATCATGCGGCGCACCCGGGCGAGGACGAACCTTCGACTTGTTTTTCGTGCTCGTCGTGTGTTTGATCAGGTTGCTTCTCATATTGTCTTCAGGAAAGTGGAAAGCCATACAGGGCAATACTTGAACGAGCGTGCTGATCATCTGGCCGATTGTGGCGCCAATGGGATCTTATGTGGCCCTGCTGATGTCCATCGCTGGGCTGGCCTTGCTGGCTAACCCCTTTGCTGCCCGAGGACTGGCAGCCCCAGTCCAGTCTCCACGCGCGCCAACAGCGGCATGCCCTCGAACTCGAGCTCAGGGAGGCCTGCTTCGGGCCCCGTGGCCGTCACCGGAGACGCTCGGGGACAGACGGCGGGCCCCCGGGCAGGAGACCGAGGGGTCCGAGGCTCACGCGGAAGAGAGGCCAGACCATCCAAGGTCCGGGCCCCGCTTCCCGCAACAGCAGAAGCACAAAGAGGAAAACAGGCAAAACATGCACACGGCGGGAGCTCCGCCACCAGAGGCCCTCCGCAGGGGGGCCCAGCCCTGGGGCCCCGAGATACGTCCGCTGATTTCTGGTGTGGGGACGTCGCGCTCTCCATGGCGAAGCCATCGAAGCCCGAGAAACCCTGGGCGCCCTGGAGGCAGGCAGGGTGCTTCCTGGCAAGGACTCCCACTGCAAACACAGACTTGCGAAGCTCCGCGCGGAGTTCTTGGATCGGCGCTGGACCCCCCCCCCTACCTGGCGCGCGCAGCGCACCAGTGGCGGCGTCGGAGGCGCCACCAGGGGAGCCCAGCGCCGACCCAAGAAGCCCGCGCGGATCTCCGACAAACTCTGTTTATGCCGTTCTTTCTTCTTCGAGCACTGGCGCCGCCGCCGCGTCGACGCGGCGAGAGTCTGCCTTGGGAGCATCGGATGTCCAGGTCGGACCTCGGGGCAGATCCGCCAGAGGGCGGCGGACGATGTGGCCATGCCCAAGGGGGGATCACCTCGGGGGGGTCGTCACTTCCCCGAGGAAGCGCCACCTCGTCGCGGAAGCGGGCCCCCACCAGCACTGCAGAGCCCCCCTATTACGACCCCCAACGCCCCAACACCTCCTCAAGCTTCGATCCTGAAACCTCGCCTCCCGGGAGGAGCCGGCGACCCCCAAGTGGTGACCCCCGGTTGGCACTGCCGGAAACGAGGAGGGTCCTCTTGAGGCCGCCCAGATGAGGTCGGAGCAGGCGGGGTCGGAAGATCGCGCCGCATCGTCGATGCATCGCCAGTGCATCGGCGATGCGTCGGCGACGTCGGCGTGGAGACCATCGGGCTCCACATCGAGCCGCTTCGCCGATGCATCGGCGAGGGGGCGAGACCCTCTGACCCCATCGGCTCGGACAGTATCCAAGAGGCCCAGCCTGGTGAGGCCCCCTAGGGGTGCCCCCGCTTTCCAGGGGTCCGGGTGGGCCTCGCGCGCTGCCCCGAGAGGGCGCGAGGTCCTGGCAGAGGGGCGTCGTTCTTCGAGCCGGATCGAGCGGCGAAGGTCCTGGGGCCCGCAAAAAGGCGAAGACGCCCAGCTCGAAAAAGTTGACATGCCAGCATCTCAGAGAGGGGGAGGGGGGGGGGCGCAGTCGACCGCCCGGGGACGGGGAAGAGGGAGAGGAGGAGGAGGAGCACGAGGAGGAGGAGGAGGAGCAGGAGGAGCAGGAGGAGGAGGAGGAGGAGGAGGAGGAGCACGAGAAGGAGGACGAGGAGGAGGGCCACCGACACGACGGCGACGACGAACGCCGACGGCGAGGACTGCAGACGCAGCGGTGACACCCGCCGGCACAGCCAGAGGCGAGGATGGGGGAACAAACACTGACATAAACAGAATAGCTCGGCAGTCCGCGCGGATTCCTCGGATCGGCGCTGGAGCCACGCTGGCGGCGCCTCCTTCGCCGCCACTGGCGCGCTCCGTGCGCCAGGGGCGGACCTCCGAGCTTTCCTGTTCGTGCCAGCGCCCGTTCTCCCGGAGGGGGGTCCTCGCGGCCAGCGCGGGCGGCCGCACGCCCTGCTGCGGCGCCGCTCGCGGCTGCAGCATCGCGAGGGCGCGGGATCGGGCGCGCGCGCGCGCGAGCGCGCGGTGCGCTCGCGAGCGGCGGCCTCTGGAGCCGCGGCGGGAAGAGCGAGGCGCGCGCCGCGCGGTGCGTACGCGCGCGGCCACTGGAGCCGCGGCGGGAGCAGCGAGGCGGCAGACCCCCCGCCCCCTCGGCCCCAGGGAGGGGGGGGGCCACGCACTCTCCCGGGAAGAGAGACGCTCCGCCTGGCGCCCTCCTGGTCCCCCTCGGGTCCTCGTCCTCCTGCTGCAAGACATGCCCCCTCTAGCCTCGATCCTCTGCCCTCCTGCTCGGCACCCGATCCTCGACCCTCGATCTTCGATTCGCCTCCTCCTCCTCCTCCTCCTCCTCCTCCTCCTCCTCCTCCTCCTCCTCCTCCGCCTCTTCGATCATCGATCATCGAGTCCCCCCACGGGGGAGGCTGTCAGGGGCCGTCGGAAGCCGACGGGGAGGTCGGGGGATGGCGGGAAGATGCGGAGCTTGTCGGGGGGAGCGAGGCGCCTCCTCCCATCCTTTTTCTCTCTCTCTCTCTCTCTCTCTCTCTCTCTCTCTCTCTCTATACATATATATATATATATGTATTTCTCTCTCTCTCTCTCTTTCTCTCTCTCGCTCGCTCTCTCTTTCTCTCTCTCGCTATCTCTCTCTCTCTCTCTCGCTCTCCTCTGCTCCAGCCGTGGCGGTGAGGGCAGGAGGCCCAGAGGCCCAGAGATGCCCCAGAGCCCCGACCCCAGAGCCTCGCCCACCGACGCCTCGAGCCTCGAGCCTCGACCCTCGAGAAGGGATGCCCGCGCACAGCCGAGCCCTCGAAAACTCGCACCCTCGATCCGTCGACCCCTCGAACGTCGAGCCAAGAAGGCCTCGACTCCTCGACCTCCCGGCTTCGCCGACCTCTCCTCTGGGAGAGCTCCAAGCAATACACCACCAGCCCTGGCCAGGCCTATCTCGGGGGCGTCCAAAAGAGGGGCGTCCAAGAGGGGGGGGGCGCAAATCATGGCCGACGGCACGCGCGCGGCCCAAGGGGGGGGCCGGGGACGCATTGAAATAAGACGAGGCGCCATGAAATCTGGAGAGATACCATGGCTCCCGTCATGATAACCACCCACCCCTAGTCATCACCCACCCCTTGGCCGCCCCCGACTATCACCCACCCCTAGTCATCACCCACCTCTTGGCCGCCCCCGTGGGCACTGGACTGGTGTACAGGCCTTCCTGGCCCAGGCCAGGAGGTCTGTACACCGATGCAGGGCCCAGGAAGTGCTTGGCCAGACTGGTGGTATAGTTGGCGTCCGACGTCTCCTCCTCGCCCTCTCACCCTCGAACGATCGCCCCAACGCGGCAGCGGCGCGGCAAATCCGACCGAGCTGAACACGGCTGCGTGCGGCCAACCGGGACGCGGCCGAACCGACAAAACCGCGGACACCCTTCTGGCGGCGCGCAGAGGAGGGCGACGACACGACGACGACGACGACGACGACGACGACGACGACGACGACGACGACGACGACGACGACGACGACGACGACAACGATGACGACGACGACGGCGGCGACGCTCCTGCCTCACAGGGGGCGCACAGGTCGGCGGCCGTGAGGGGGGCAAAACCCTTTTGGGGACGGGGGGGAGGTCCACTCTTGGCGGCGCGCAAAGGGGGATAGGGGGAGGGGCGAAGGCTTCTTAGTAGCAGAGGTGTTTCTAGGAATCCTTCCCTCCGTCCCCCCTACCCCCCGTCGCGCGTGGCCGAGTTCTTGCCTCCTTTCCCCTTAGCACGGAGACTCCCAGAGAAGCACCTCCGAGATCATCCAGTAAAATCTGGAGCAAATCGTGCACGCTTCAGCGCGAGTCGAAGGACAGCAGAAGTCGTCACTCCATTAACGAGAAGAGACAGGTGCACCACCTGCACCCCCACGCAGAAGAGCGCCACGGCTCGCGGAGGTCGGTGCGGCAGCCGCGGCAGGCAATCCCCCAGCAGCAGGGCCTCGCCGTGCCAGTACTCCTGGTCGCGGTCCGCCTTAAGCGCGTCTATCCTGGACTTGGTCCTGCCCCCCCCCCTCCCGCAGCAGGAGCAAGGAAGGGCGACGCCACCACCACTAGCGCGAGGAGCCAGACGTGACGAGGTATCGACACACGCCCATACTCGTAGGGAGGTCGGAGGGAGGAGGATTGGCTATGGATATGGTCTGGGCGCGGGTCGTCGGACCCATGGGGAGGCTCCCGTTCGAGCCCGAGCGGGGACCCCCCTCCCACAACACGCACCCATAGCCGCTCCGCCACAACTACGGATATGGGTGCGCGTTGTTCGTTCATCACAGAAGATCGGCACGAGCGAAGTGGGCACGGAGAGAACGGAAACAAAGACCACCACCAGCACCCACACCCATAGCCAATCATCCTCCCTCCGTACCCCCATGGGTATGAGCGTGTGTGCGGGGGGTGGGGCGTGAGTGCGCGCGTGCGTGGCTGTGTGTGTGTGTGTTTGCACGCGTTCCTCTCCCGCCGCCACATGAGGCTGGTGTACATGACGCGCCGTTGACGGCACCACCAAGCACAGCATTTTGCTTCTTCCGGTACTTCGCCGCCGGGTTCCTGTCCAACGCGTTCCTTTGCAAGCACATCGTCTTCGGCACCGCCTGACCCCGGGGCGTTGTCCCCTCCTGGCCTTGACGTGAGGCCCCTCCTTCTGCCCCCCCCTCTTTGTTAATTCAAGCTGTGCGCGGCCCGCTTAGCTTCGACTGGAAGAGGTGCGCTCTCGACCCGCGAATCCAAAAATGTGTTTGCACGCGTGCGTGGGTGCGTGCGTGCGCGCGCGTGCGTGCGTGCGTGCACGTGTGCGTGTATGTGTATGTGTGTTGTGCATTTCCCTCTTACTCCCCCAGTGGTGTGGCAACCGCATCGCCTGTGCCGCTCCCCCTCCTGGCTGTGCTCGGCCGCCGCCGAGTCCCGCCCGCCCTTCGGCTGTCTTCGCCCTCTGCTCTTCGCCTCCTCGCCGCCCGCGTCGCCTGCGTTCCGCCCTCCGCGCCTCCCGCCGCGCCTCGCAGGCCTTCCGGTCTCCGCGCCTCGCCGCCCCCCATGGGCTACGCTCGCCCACCCACCTGCTGGCCCTCCCAGCTCAGCGCCGCTCCCCTCTGGTGGCGTGGCTCTCCCTCTCCGTCCTTTGTCCTTCGCCTTCTCGCAGGCCTGCGTTCGCCGTGCTAGTGCAGCGCTCTCACTGCAGCCTGCGCTCTGCCATTCACGCCTCCAGCCGCGCCTCGTAGGCCCTCAGGTCTCGGCGCTTCGACCCACCCCTGGGTCCGCCTGCTCGGCCGGCTCCCCCATCAGTGCGGTAACCGCATCGCATTTGCTGCTCCCCAAACTGGCTTTACCCGGCCGCCGCTGGGCTGCCTTCCCCCCCGAGCTGTTGCCCGGCGCCGCGGCTGGTTCTCCCCCCTCGGCGCTCCTCCCGCCGCAGCTGGTAACTTGCCTGAGCGGGCCCGGCTTCCCCTCTCCCCGTCGCGCCGGGGTCTTCCTCCTCCTGCGTGCATTGCGGCCGAATTTGCATCTCGTGCGCCCCCTGATGCCTGATAGCCGGAGCAGTCACCCTCTGCCCAGCCGCCGACGCAAAAAAAGTGTGTGTGTGTGTGTTGTGTTGTCTTGCATGGTGGCTCAAATCGCTCTAACGACATCCCCGTTTAGGCATCCGATCGCCAGCGTAGACGTCCACTGCCTAGCCACCGACGCAAACAAAAATGTGTGTTGTGTGTAGTGTGTGCCTTGTGTGCTGTGTTGTGTGGTGTGTGTTGTGTGTTGTGTGTGTTGTGTGTGTGTGTTGTGTGTACTGCGCGGTGTGTGTGTGTTGTGTGTTGTGTGTGTGTGTTGTGTGTTGTGTGTTGTGTGTGTTGTGTGTTGTGTGTTGCTGTGTGGTCTGCATGGTGCTTGTGGTGTGTGTGTGCGGTGTGTGGGTGTGTGCGTGTGGTTGTACGTGTGGTTGTACGTGTGATTGTAAGTGTGGTTGTATGTGTGCAGGTGCAGGTGTGTGCAGGTGTGTGCAGGTGTGTGTAGGTGCGTGTGCTGTCCGTTCGTCAAGAGGAGAGCTCTCAGGCATCGGGCACCGCCGCCCTCTCGAAGCGCCGCGGAACGCTCGGAGAGCGCTCGAGGGCGCTCTGCTGCTTTTTGTCTGTTTTTGATTCCCCCCCCCCAGCCCGCCTGGAAATGGGAGCGGGCGCGGCGTCCAGAAGAGCGACGCATTTCCCCCGCGGGGCTCGGGCCCCAAGGAGCTCGAGGCCCGCGGAGATGCACACGTCCCGTGGAGCGGTCTGGAGCCCTCTCCCTTTGGCACGCCCGAAGTGGCGCCACGAGCGGCGAACGGATCCACATCCGCGCTCTCGCGGTCTTGATTACGGGACGCGATCCCGAGGATACGCGGTCACACGGATACGTTCCGCCGTGCAGGGCATGCGCGAAAAGACTGCCCCGTAATCATCCGCGGGGTCGCGGCCCAGGGGCCCCGACCCGCGAGGCGTGGATGCGGATATGGTTTTCTGCCGACGGGGCGTCGAGGCAGAGGGGCTCCACGCCTCGTGGGGCGGTTTGGTGCCCTCTTCTCTGGCACGCTCGAAGTAGGTGCGGAAAAAATGGGAACAGCGCCCAGCAGCGAGTGTGCAGCCGAAACTGGCAGCGGCCGCTGTGTTTGGCAGGCGACTTCTTGTCCGAGATGGGCAACACCCACGGCGACATTGACGGCGAGCCCTGTTCAAAGCGGACAGGAACCGTCTTTGGTTTGTCTCCCCCTTCTCTCCGTACCCGCTTGGTTCGTGCCGACCTTCTGGGCCTCGCACACCGCCGTCGTTCGGCGGCGAGCCCTGGGGGTAATCAGAAGGGGCGGGCCTTCCCAGAAAATCTCACTTCCACCCCAAGTTCGCCGCCACTTGTCCGAGGCACAGAAACAGGAAAATAGACATCCGGGAGACGCGGGGCCAGGAGCTGGGAGGAGGAGGAAGGAAGAGAAAGACGAGAAAAGTATGAAGCATAGGAAAAAGGGAGCCCATACCGCTACCCTTGCCTCGTTCTCGACTTTTGGTCCTCCTTGGAGGCCCTCACCGCCACGGCGGCTACATTCGCCTCGAAACCCTGGTCAGAAGGCCCCCTCGGAAGGTCCAGGGAGTAGCGGTATCGATGTTCTTCGCTCCCCCATGGTCGCTGTCGCCCATCGTCATTCGTCTGCCGTCGTCCGTCGCGGTCCATTCATCTGTCGTGGCCGTTGCCGTCGTCATACGTCGTTCGTAGTCTTTCCCGTTTTCGTCGCCGTTCGCCGTCGACGTCCTCCAAGGGCGAGGGCGAGGGTTGGGCAGAACAGAGTTGATCCTGCATCCTTTTCCTTGTTGTTCCTCCTCCTCCTCTTCCTCCTCCTCCTCCTCCTGCTCCATCATGCGTTTCCTTCTGTACTTCGATTGAGGATGATCGAAAATTGGTGTAGTTGACATACTTTGTCTCGTACCTGCCTTCAGGGCGGCCCTCGTCGCCCTGGATGGATACTGGTCAAAACGCATAGCTGGGGGGCATATGGGTTGATTTAAAGGGAGATGGGGTTCCCCCCCTGCAAAATTAACAGAACGAAGAACCTGAGAAGTACGCCTTGTGCTACAAGATGCGGTCGACGCTAACATACAAATCAACGTCACAACGCCTGAAGACGGCTACAGATACCTGAGCCAAGCGTCACGGGTTGAACGATTACTGGAAGGCGACATTGGAACATCCCCTGATAGTCCTGATTAATCAGGTCGGGCAAATTACGTACAACCTTGTGAAAACCCACGTGCCACGAGCGGAAAACAATGGAAATTCAACGGTACAAATGCTGCGACGTGATGAGCGACGTAAGTGTGACCAGGCACGAACATATACTTAGACAACAGTACGCATGAATACACGCAAGGTAGAAGGGCCCAAAACAGCGCAAAGAAAACGCAGCACGGCGGCGCAGAAGGTGACTGAAGTTAAGGCGGGATGCCCGCTCTATGTGTTTGTCACAGTTGCCAAAACGCAATGGCATGAATGGGAAATTGACTAGGTTACAAGCGCGACAAGTGGAGAGAGATGGGGCAAAAAAAGCATGTGTTACGCATGCTCGCTCACCTGGGCCTTCTCGAGTTTGACCGCCCACCATGTTTGGTTGTATGCATCACCTTGCGCCCACGGTTAATCAATTGCTCCATCCTCGACCGACAGTCACTACCCACCATGAATTGATTACTTTCCAGTTAGTTATTATCCTCGCTAATATCGGCCCAGGTCCCCAGCCTGGTCTCGACGTTGTCCCTGGGAATTTTCTTCGCCGCCCTGCGCCCGATGCCGCCACCCCTCTCGGCTGCCCTCCAGCACGAAGGTTGGGCGTGACCAACTCGCGGCATGGCCTGGGCACCTCTCGTCACAATTAACGCCCGATGGGGTGGTCCACCACCCAGATCTGGCCACTAGTCCGCATGTTGTAGTTCACCCGTTACTGGCCTGCCAGAGAATCTCCCCCCCCTCACGCCCGCGCGCCCTTACATGCGGGTGGACCCATTGCTCACCTCCACGATTATAAAAATCACGACAACGGAGATAGTCGCGCGGAACCAGGTTAAGGGGAGCCTCTCAAAAATGCTAGTTGCATCCGCTCGGCTTCCTCATGGCTGTCTCAAAATCGCTATTAAAGGCCCCGAAACCGTCGCCGAAAATTATAAACTCCTGCGCCGGGTCTTCGGTCACGAACAGCGCGACCCATGTCCCTGCCGCGATAAATGTTCCAGAATGGCCCCGCTTCGCCCGGCGACCGTTTCGCCCAGCCCGCGTCGCCCGGTCCGTTTCGCCCAATGATGGTTTCGCCCAGGACGGTTTCGTCCGAAACGGTTTCGCCCTGCATCGGCTTCGACTGGTCGGTTTCGCCCGAACAGGTTTCGCCCGGGACGGTTTCGCCCAGAACGATTTCGCCTGGTCGATCTGGCCCATTCGCCCGGACCGGTTTCGGCCCACGCCGGTTTCGACCGCACGGCTTCGCCCGGAGATGGCACGGGACGGT